GCTGAACTTAGCGTGGCTAGCAGCTCACCACTCTCTTCTGAGCCTGTGTTTGTTCATTCATTTTGCTTTTTGTTTCAGGCTAGAGAGTGCTCTTAGAAAGGTAATGCCCAAGAAACCAAAGTAAAGGTTCCATTATTGCCTTCAGCAGTGTAAAATCAAGCTTAGCACCATGGTTTTGTATGGTATGTGCAGAAAGACTGACCTACAGCAGACCGTATACTTCAGACAACTCAAAACCACCTGGTTGCTAAACTGAGACATTTCACAGGCAGAGTTTTGAGCCTCTCCCATTCACAGGAAAAAGGAAGTTTTGGATCTTGAGTCTTTGAGAAGAGCTGCTCTTTTTTTTTCTTCTTCTTCTTCATTTAGGGTGTGTACACTGTAACAGTGACATTCTAGGGTCGAGCAAAACCTCCCGCCAGGTTGCACCCCTTCCAAGCACACCTCTGATTTTCCATTAATGGGGTGAGCAGCAAGACGTGTCCAACAGACTGGAGAAAGCTATCTGACTTCCTTTGGAAACTTAGTGTATTTTGGGAAAGACACTTGCTCTGACAAAGAGCACTCAAAGAAGAGAAGGCTCGAGAAACGAGTTCTCCTACCACAAAATTCACCTGACAGCCAAAAGATCCAGGCATCACTGATGTCACTGATAACGCTCATGATGAATTTGCACGCAGCTCTGTGTAGCTGCAGCTGCAGATACACAAAAGCAGACAAATGCTTATTGTATTGTATGTACAAAAGCAGACAAATGCTCATCGCAGCACAGGTGAAAATTGTTTCTAAAACAAATGGCTCTTTGCCTGTGGTTGTAGTCACCAAATGGGTGGTGGAGCTGTGCTCATATGCAGCCCTGAGCAACTCAAAGGTAAAGTGTGTATTTATGTGTGGGTTGCTTTTTTTTTTTTAAAACAAAAAAGAAGTACTCCTACGGTGAGCCTGCCCTTCTGTCTATGTCTGGAGGCAGGTTGTGGGTGGTAATAAGAGAATAATATTTGTGAAAAGGGATTGCAAACATGTAATCTCTTGTTCTGCTCCTACTGTCCGTTTCTTCAAATTTCAAGCTGCTTTTCTGCAGCTCTGCTGCCAGCATATAATACATTAATGTAGCTTTTTTGTTTGCAAAACAGTCTGTTACTCTGCTAAAAATGATGCCAAGGAATGAAGCTATGTATTTGTTCTTTGAAAAGTGCCAGGAT